AGCCAACCCGGGCTCAAACGAGCCAGCTCGCGGGTTAAACGAGCCAGCTCGCGGGTTACTCTTTTTTTATTTTAATAAAATACAATAGACTTTAATGATGGATTCTCCACTGATGGACTTTACTATATTGGTCGCTTTTGCAGGTCCTTTTTTTCATGATTGGCTTTTGAGTCTAGATGCTTATCGTTGAAATATATAATGGATTTCTTTTATTTTTTTATTTTTTGGCTTTATATACGTTTTATGGTTATCGTGAGTTAGAGTAATTCAGAAAATCATGATAACTGACTCCTGTGATTCGTGGAGTGGTTTGTGTTTCATTTAATGTTTTTGGATTTTGTAAACTACTCTACTTGTAGTTGGACTGCAAAATACAATAATTTTATACAGGAGAACAAACCACAAAAATTAAATTTTTTGAGCCAACCCGCGAGTCAATATTTTGAGTTAACCAACCCGCGAGCCAACCCACTAGCATCATTTCGAGCTAACTCGCGAGCTTTTTTTGAGCCAACCCGCGAGCTGATTATCAAGCCAACCCGCGAGTCAACCCTAACCCGGCTCGGGTCGAGCCGGTTGGGTTTTCTGGCTCGTTTTTTTTTTCGAGCCAACTCGACCCGACCCATTTTTTCGGGCTTAATGCGGGTTGGGCCGGGTCGAGCCGGGTTGGCCCGTTTTGCCAACCCTAGCATATATTGTTGAGATACATAGTCCCACATTGGTTGTATGTGCAACTAATATGGAGTTTATAAGGCCTTGGACACTCCCACCCTTTGAGCTAGCTTATGTTCCGGGTTCAAACCTCACCGTCCCTCACTTTCTCTTATGGAATTTCTTAGCACAGGTAAACTGGGCCTGTTGCATCATCTTCAAGCCTCAATGGGCTCTCGTGTGAGGGGGCGTGTTGAGATAAGCCTTCAAACCCCAATAGGCTCTCGTGTGAGGGGGCATGCTCATATATAAGCACCTATTTAATTATGTTATTGGTCAAATAAATTCTTATATTTATCTAAATTTTCAATAGATCCATATAATTCAATAAAAGCTAACTAGCTAAATGGTTAGCGAGTAAATTAATAATTATTTAAAATCTTAAATGAACAAAAGCTTGTTAATTTTTTTGGTAATCATTAAAAAATTTTAATTATAGAGATTTATATAAAATTTAATAAAAACATGAGGACATAATTTAACCTCAATTAAACATTTATCTAAAAAACCATATTGATATTTCATCGCATGTTATGTACACTTACCAAAGATTTTCTTTCATCGTGATATTATTGCAAGAACTGCAAATATAATTAAAAAAAGAGAGTACTGTTCACACAAAATATAACAATGTAATTAAGTATGCCTAATTGCACATAGGTCACAACAAGGCCTACATTGTCTTAGATTTTTAATTAATCAAAATGAAAAAAAAAAACTACTGAATATATATAATTATGAAATTGTAACTTTAATAATTATATCTAAATAATATCAGTTCTTCTTTTTTTGGTTTATTTCTATTCACTTTTCAACTTAAGTTGACTTACCCCTACGTTACTTAATATATTATTTTGTCGCTGCCTTTACGAAACTTAAAAAGACAAATGCATAAATAAAAACTTGTATTTGAAGTAACGTGCGCAGTTGGTTGTGCATGAAAAAGACAGAAAGTTCGGGTGTTGAAATATTGTTTGGAATTGTCTCAGCAAAACTTTGATATTTTTGAAGTAAAAATGCATATGGTTTTGTGTGTGTGTGGAGAGCATGTTGAGACTATACCTTGATGTCCACACACCATAAGACAGTGGCGTAGCCACAGTCAAACCTGCAGGTGCTTGGCACCTGCTTGTTTTTTTTTCTTGTACTTATTATATAATTAATTATAATTAATTTTAGTAAAAATTATAATTTGGCACCATTTAAATAAAAATTTAAATACTCGATACAAAGTAACACCAAACCACTTAAATATTATTATTAGAGGGAGAATATTTTTATTATCAAAAGTTTCTACTACTAACTTACTACCTATCTAATCACCATTGAATTAAAGAAAGAGAATGCAAAAAAGTTTTTGAAAAAAGAAAAAATGTTGATCCAATAGTGATTAGATAGGTAGTGAGTTGGTAGTAAAAAAATTTAGTAGTAAGAATATCCCTCCTCTTATTATTATGGGATAAGTTATTCTACCTACTATTTTTTCTGCCTACCTTTGCCTATCACTCTCTAATACCGTTAGATCAGAATCTTAACTAACATTTATCTTTCTCTCTCTTCTTAAGATTCTGATCTAACGGTATTGGAGGATAGTAGGCAAAGGTAGACAAAAAAAATGGTAGGTAGAATAACATATCTCTATTATTATTATTATTATTATTATTATAACTTCTCAATTGCCGATTTCAATTATAACATTATGAGCTATTCTAGGTGCACGAATAAGTGGATCGTTCTTGAAGCATAATTAAATTATCATTCTCCATGCATTTTTTATTTTTATTTTATTTTTCTTGTGTGAGTGGACGGAGAAATTGCTTTCCGTTTTTTTGTCGCATATCCTTTGGGAGGCGTTTGGTTGAGGAGAAATTTTTTGAATACTAGGGAAATGTAATTACTAGGGAAATGGTTGGAAAGTAAGTTTGGTAGGAAAATGTAAAAAAAGTTGTTTGGTTGACCGAAATATTACCAGGGAAATTTATTTAAATTTGCAAAATCCATGTTCGGGAGAAACTTCGCACCTGTTTTTTCACTTCCTCAGTTATCTCAAAATACCACATCTCAAGTGGTATTATGTAATAGTGAATTTCATCCAAAAATCAACACAAAAGTCATTTCCCCATCTATCCTATTTGCCTAGTATTTTTTTCAAAAACCTGAACCAAACGTGGTATTTTCCAATATCCACTTACACTCTCCCATCAATCCCAAAATAAATCTTCAACCAAACACTACCTTGGAGTAAGTTGTTAAGAAAGAATAGTTCTATATCCTCCTAAGTCCTAACTCATCATCTTCCTAATAATTTTCTTCATTATTATTGAATATATTTAGGAATAATTATATTGTCGCCTCTTTATGTTAGCGCTTATTATATTGATACTAATTTTTGTTTAAGAAATTACACATGTCATTTTTATTTTATTATTTTTCAAAAAACTTTATGTGGGATTTGCACGTAACAAATGTAAGATATATGTAATATCTTAAATGAAGGAAGGTGTTAAATTAAAGTGTAAGAACAAAACGTAAAATAAGGAATACATGTACAATTTTTTAAATTTTTTAATTAAAGAGTGTCAATATAATAAACACTAATCTCATAAAATGTTTGTGTAATTCATGACTTTAATGTTTCTACAGTGAATGTAGATAAGTTATTTACAATCACTTTTAAAACGACGTTGTTTTGGGTTGAAAAATTAAAAATTATATTGAGAAAGACTATTATAACACTGAAATAAATTATAATTATAAAAATATCTTCATTTTCGCTCTAAAACGACATTATTTTGGGGCTCAATGTAGATAACTTATCTATATTGATTGCAGAAAAAACGAACCCTTTATACTTAGGGTAAAATATTTGTCTTTTTAAAGGATATAACTTTATGCCATTTTAGATCTTAACCGTTGATTTTCGTCAATCAACGGTTATAATTTATTGAATAAAACTTATTAATTAATTATTAATTCACAATAAAACTCAATACATCATAACTGTTAATTGATGAAAATCAACCGTTAGAATCTATGACACAAAGATATATCATTTAAAAGGGCAAACATTTGTCCCTTATACTTAATTATTATGTTTATGAAATGTCAAATACTTAATTTTTACTTAATCATTATTTTAATAAGGGAAAAATATTTTTCATGTTACAAAAGATAAAATTATATCTTGTAATCTCAAAATTACATTATTTTAAAAAGGGAAAAATATTTTTTCAGTGATGTAATGTCCCACATCGGTTGGAGAGGGGAACGAAGCATGCCTTAAATAAGTGTGTGGATACCTTTCCTTGTAGGAGGCCTTTTGGGTAACCCGAAACGTAAAACCGTGAGCTCGACGGTGCTTGTGCGCGGGGCAAAGCGGACAATATCCTGCTACAGGCTTTGGGGGATGTATCCTGCTACAGAGTTTGGGACTGTTACAAGTTACAAAAGATAAAATTATATCTTGTAATCTCAAAATTACATCATTTAATTTTGTTTGTTTCTTTATTGTATTAATTTTACCAAAACAACTTTCATTAATTCTTCTAGCCCTTAAAATAACATAGTTTTGAGGTTGCAAGATAACTATATCTCTTCTGAAAGAGAAACGATAAACCCTTTTAAATAAACATAAATATAATTATTAGAAAAATGTTCTAAAAGGGTTCAGAATTGCACGTGGAGAAGTCAAAAGTAATATCATTAAATTGTAACTATTGAGTTGCTTTCACAACTTTTTAGCTTGCATAGTTACGGAACAAAGGCAAATCCCTATGTATACCAGTGTGGTTATTTCTCCTTATTAATCGGGAGAATATGTGGGTTTTCAACTCTTTTACCAAGATGAAGTTTCAATAAGCCTAAAAAATTGCGTCAGAGTACTTTGAATGTTGACACTAATCCTATATTACCATGACCGTGTGAACAGAACCCTACATAGTAATACTGTATTGAAATTTAACACCAATCCCATTTTCTTGACATTTTTTGTTACTTTGAACTGGAGAGAGTATTTGGGCTGGCACTGAAATTGCGTTATAACCATGCAGTACTCTGTGAAACCAAATCACACATAACCCTAAAAATAAGAGCAACTGAACACAGCAAAAGCAAATAATTAATTTAACAATGCATTACTAAACATCATTTGTCATAATTGAAGAGGAATACAAAAACTTTCATAGAGATCAGCTATGATCCCATAGGCTCTCTATATATTATAATCACGAAAACTAAAGAATGTGGTTTCAACCCTGTTATACAAGTGATTTTGGGTGATAGACAACTGAATCTGAAAATACTTAGAGGAAAAAGCATGTCCTTTTCTTGCGTGCTTTCTTCTTAGGCTTTGGTGGTCTTAATGCAACCTTTATTGCAGTGTCAAAAACTGACTTCACATTCTGAAACATAAAGAAAGAAAGAATTAGAACATAGACAGTTAAATTACTTTCCAATTGGGAATTGGATTGAAGTATAGATCGACCACCTTAAACTAGAGTTTGGAGTTTGCATCAAAATATGTTTACAAAAGTAATTGTTAATCGCAGGTCCTCTAATGGTGTTTCTCTTTAACACTTAAAACACACAAGGAGTTCTCTGAATATACCTCTTTGTATATCTTTTTAACATTCAAGCCTTACATACAAATGATTTACATGGTACTATTTAAAAGCAATAGCAAATAACTAGAAATACTAATGACTAACTTAGGAAATCTAAACACATTAATTGTCCACTAACAAATTCCTAAGGGACACACCTCTTCACCACAAAACCTTTCATTTTCTATTTTCTTTTATTCAAATAAAGTTTAAAAACCCAACAGTTATGAAGTTCTGATATTTACCTGCTGTGTTTTAGAACTGCACTCTACATAAGTGACTGCGCCAATCATTTTCTTAAGTTCTTCTCCCTGTTCATCACAGCTATTGTTAAATACATTGTCCCTGGAAAAAAGATTTTCACATTCTATGTAAGCATATTTTGGTTTAATTTGTTGAGGACATGCCTGAGAAGTTGTAATTCGTGTGGCTCCCGGATGATCAACCAAGAATTGCTTGTCATCTCGCAAATCTGTGCAATGAAAGAGTTAAGTAGAAACCAAAATTAGGTTTGAGGTCCAATGACAAAATTGCTGAGCAACACTAATGTAATTTAATCAACAAGGGGACGACATGTAGCAAGATGTTGATGATATTATAAATGAAATTGATTTGAAAACATTAAATTCATTCAGAAAATAAAAGAAACTGGAATATATAGTTTTCTTTTTGGCTTCATGAAAGTAATAATTTTTTCTGTCTTTCTTAACTACCTGCTGTAAACTGGCCTTATATTTTCTGTTTTCTGTCATGGCACACAACTTGCAATTGAAAATTTGTTGATGACTGGTGAGTAATGCATTTTATTTACGAAAGTTTCATGGGTGGATTATCAAAGCAGAGTTGTGTAATGCATGAACAAAAGAAAATTAAGCTTCAATTATCCTTGATAAAGATTGAGAATATACACAAAGGACGTTGTTTATATGCAGAAACTGAACTTTCATGGCATACCAATTTGATTATTGACTTAAAAGGGATAGTCAACGCATGATTGTTATGCTACTTTTGAGAGAATTATCTCACCTAGTTTTGTTCCCACAAGCACAACAGGTACATTTGGAGCATAGTGTCTCAGCTCAGGTATCCACTGTTTGTCAAGAATCCAATAATTATAATTCCCTTAAAGACTGCAAAGGTGGCAGATACTAATCTGAGGGAAAACATAATTATAGTTACAGAAAAAGGAGCAAAGAGGAGAGAACCTTTTTGGAAATGTTCTCATAACTGGCTTTACTGATGAGAGAAAAGCACAACAAAAACACATCAGCTCCTCTGTAGCTTAAAGGCCTTAGCCTGTTGAAATCTTCCTGTCCTGTAAATCCACAATTTTACACCAATTACTTAACTCAAAAGTCCCACAAGCTCACAAAAACATTTCTCTCTTCAACATTTTGAATTTAACATAGAAGATGTAATCTCAGAAAGAAAGATGATATTGACCAACCTGCAGTATCCCACAAACCAAGATTAACAGTGTTGCCATCCACCACTACATTAGCACTGAAATTGTCAAACACTGTTGGAACATAATCCTATCATAAAGGAAGCAAAGGAAAATAGTATTAGCTTTATTACTAGCTCCTTCAACCATGATTCAAAAATAAATAAATAAATAAAAACCTACTGTGGGAAATGTATTGCTTGTATAGGATATAAGCATGCACGTCTTTCCCACGGCACCATCACCAACTGTCACACACTTGATGAATCTGGAAGTAGTCATTGTGTTGTGTTCTTCTACTTACAAAAACATTGAAACTATAAACGAAGTATGAACTTAAAAGAATGAAAAAAGTGAAAGAGAAGGGCGTGGTGGGTGGAACTTAACAACCTAGCAGCAAGTCTACGACCTACTTTAGTTGTGGCTCATCCAAATTTATCTAATTTAAAATATTTGCCCCACAAAGCTTTTCTTTACTTTAAGTGCAAGGCCAAAACCAGGGAGGGTAACAAAGTAGGTATATGGTGCATGCGTTAGTTGGTTAAGTGTGGAAGAAGGGAGGGAATGGACGATGGAAAAGCAAATAATTTGCTTAATTAACTAATACACTATGATGAAATAAAAGAACAAATTAAGATATGATATGATATGATGCAATCAAGTCAAAAAGTTTCTTGTGAATTGCTTGTAAAATTTCTTCGTTTCCCGAATTATACATTTCGTAGTTGGTCCTATATGCTTAGCTGGGCTGATCTGGCATCGGCTTTTTCTTGGGTCCATTGTTTTTAGAAAAGCCCAAATGTGAATGCCTTTTACTTTACCGTTTTGTTAACTATAAGTTGCAATGAAGACTCCACAAAACACGGTTATCATGGCTGCTGTCTGTGGAACTCTCCGGCACTAAACACACAAATCAAATGGCCCAACAACTAGAGCTCATTGAATTGATAGGTGTGCCTTTTTTTTGTCTTCAAAAAGTACTTATATTTGATACTTTTTTTTTTTTTTTACTTTCTCTAAATAATTGATACGATTTGAAACAACATGTCAAATGCTTTTGTAAGAAGTTAACAAAACCCTTAGCTTTTATAGAATTAGTTAAAAAGAGTTTAATCAGTTTATTTATGTATCTTTTGTTTTTTCTGCGGTTACTGCAGACAAGTTATTTGCAGTAAGCCCAATACGATATTGTTTTGGGACGAAAATCATGGTGTTTTTGTAATTTTAATTAATACTCTTTATATTTATAAGTTTTTAAAATTTCAATACCAAAATAATGTCGTTTTGAGAATAAATATAGATAACTTAGTGACTGCAGAAGTATTTTTCCCATTATTATTTAAGTTATTCAAAATAAGTCATATTCTATTTTTAATAAAGCTTTTTTTTTAGAGAAAAATTAAATTATAATGAGAAAACATTTTGCATGAAGGAAAATTAAATTAAAAGTTTTAGTTGTATACAAATGACATCCTTTATTGCATAATTAGCTAATACAATTTCGTAAATAATAATAATTTTGTGTCGTTGTATTTAAACTATGAGGCTTATGTATGTCATGTTACAGAAAAATTTTATAATTTCCTGCACAGACAACATAGGTGGGGCCTACTGGCTTTTTAGAAAAACAAAAAAGTAAAAATTTGAGACACGGAATTCAATCAGTCTATAATATATTCTAAACAAATTCCAGTAACACGACGCTTATAAATCCCTTAAACTATATATATATATATATATATAATAAAATCAGATTTCTCATGCATAGATTGTAGAGACTCTATGCATGCAACAACCAAATCCTCTCTTGAATTCATCCAAAGAAAGCTTTGTTGAGTATTTGCGCCAACTTTAAGCAATCTTAAAAGGAGAAGATTTAAGGGAAGGATCTGCGAAAGGTCCCTCAACTAGTCCCTTTGCTATTAATCTGTAAGTTGCTTCGGTATAGTGGAGTCCATCCCAGTTTATACGTTTTGAAGGTTCAGAGCAAACAGTTGAGCGAGGCTCCCCACAACTTACGTTTGGAAGGAAATTGAAAGGTCCACCTGCTCCACAACATGCTTTGAAAGTCTCACTCTTATCAGCTGAAAAGCCTGCATAATTAATGTACATATTTAAATGAATTTGATAAGAATAAATTGTGCTAAAATTAGATATCACTTGTTCATCCAATGAATGAAAATAAAAACACAACGCACCATATTGATGTGGTGCTTGAAATAAACGTTTGGCATCATTGAAGTAGTCGAAATATATTATCTTTGCTTGAGGATTTTTCTTCCTTAGTGTCTCTATGGCCTGTTTGAGCTGCTCATTATAGTACTGAGCCAAGGTATTGTAAGATTTCAAGCACCCAAATTCGTCATGGTCGTCCTTGTTATCACTCTTCTTCACCGTCAAAACTGCAGAATTGCACCCAATGGGGAAGTTCCCTGGTACCACTAGCTCTACAGCTCCTTCTTCTATTAATGCCTACCAAATATTAAACAAAAAACGATACAGATATTCACCACCGGCCGTGATATAATCAATCAAATTTCAAATTAAATGCTAAATGAACTATTAAAATTGATGCTACTTAAATTTGATAAACATACAGTGGTGGTATTGGTAATTGCTTCAACAATCAGGGGAACTATTTCTCGGAGTTGTGGAATATTTTTATTTGCCACCATATGCGCGATAACATCATTCCCACCAATCTCTCCAACCAGAAACAATGATCTCTTTAAGCAGTTATCACACTCTGTGTGTGTCATAGAATGGAATATATAAAAGTTATTTAAGTCATGTTGAGAAAATTTCATGTATTGCATTGGATAGAAATATTATTATAAAAGAGTTTTGTTATAACCAACCTTCTTTGGTTTTACAGAAAGAGGGTTTGAGCTTCTTAAACCAATCAAGTTGAACTCTCAACGATTTTGCATCTTGCGTCAGTGGATTGATTTTGGTTCGAGTGTAGTATTCCATATCAAGTGCAGTTGCACCAACATATGCAAAATTTACTCCTTGCGTGAAGTTTTGGCCTTCGGTGAGATTCAAATAGGCTGGCAAAAATGGCAACCCATATGCCTCAGCTACAATTCAAATGACCACATGTTAGTGTATTAATTATTCAATCACTAAAGAATTATAATTTAAGTAGTTGTAATGTTTCGTACTCTATTATTAAGAAAATAATGGTAAATATATATATACCAATGAAATCAATGATGAGTCGTCCATCTGACATGCGACCGCTTGGATGTTTGAAAAATGTTGAGCCATAAGGACTGTCGCGGATAACCTTGCCAGGCGGTGGTTTGTGGAGGAAAGCAGCATTTCCGGTGTCACTTATAGAGTCACCAAAGTTGAAAATAGCTTCATATGGCAGAGTATTGGCATTTGAAGCAAGGAAACCACATACGAGGGTGATGCTAAAGAGAATAAAGATCTTCATGATGATGTTCCTGTAAGCTAGGAACTTAAAAGGACCAATGTAAAGAAGATCGATCGGTACTTGGAGTTGGATGAGGGGTGCTTGGAGTTGAGCTTTATATATTGTCACTTGTCAAGCCATAAATATAGTTTGCTGCTTCGATTCTATTTTGTCATATTTTGGTTGTAACAGAAGATATTTAATTAAGGCCATCTAACGACTTATCCTTGAATATGGATCTCTTGGTTTAAGGTTTTGTTACTCTGAACATTATGTGCTGCAATCTCTTTTGGTTCTTTCTATAGTTATATTGTTTGTTGCACTGTACTCACCTACATTATAGATCCATACACTAAATTTAGACGTTGTAACAATTGAGTTAGGAAAAAGTGTGTATGATAAACTTGTGTGGTTTTAAGTGAAAGAAAAGATATATCATCTGACATTGAGCTGTGAAAACGGGCCAGCCCGGCCCATTTAGCCCAAGTGGATTAGGGTCAAAAAGTCCACAATGATATAGATTCACACGGGCCAAAGCCCTATGGGTTAAAGCCAACCCGCGGGCCTTCTAAAAAAATAATATGTATTTTAAAAAAAAAAAATATTTATAATAAAATGGTGCATAGAAATTATTAGAAAAAATAAAAATAAATAGTTTTTAGAAAATTGTCACTTTTAAAAAAAATTATTGCATAGAAATTTTTTCGTAAAAAGTTTAGACAGAAAACGTTTCTGTAAAAAATTTGACGAAAAAAAAAATTCGTCAAAACTCTTTACAGAATCTAAATTCCGTAAAAGTTTTTGACGAAAAAATTTCCGTCCAAATTTTTGACGAAAAAATTTCCGTCAAATTTTTTGACACAAAAATTTAAGTCGAAATTTTTGATGAAAAAAGTTTTTGTTGAAATTTTTGTCTCAAAAATTTTCCGTCAAAATTTTTGACAAAACACATTTCCGTCAAAAAATTTTGACAAAAAATATTTTTGACAAAATTTTCGATAAAAAATATTTCTATCAAAATTTTAAACGGAACACATTTTTGTTAAAAATTTTCCACGAAAATTATTTCTGTAAAAAACTTTGACGAAAATATTTCTGTAAAAAATTTCAACGAAAAAAATATTTTGTCAAAAATCTTTACGAAATCTAAATTCCGTCGAAAGTTTCACAGATACATTTCCCTCAAAAAATTTGAAAACAAATATTTCTGTTGTAATTTTCATTGGGTCACATTTTCATCGAAGATTTTGGACGGAAAATATTCCGTCAAAATTTTTGAAGGAATTCTTTTTTTCGTCAAAACTTTTGATGAAATTTTTTCGTTGTAAATTGGGTTGAATATTGTAGCCCGCGGGCCAGCCCCAACCTAACCCTATAATGAGAGGGCTTTAAAAGGATGGGCTTAAAATGACCCCATTACATAAAGGGCTAAAATTTTATAGGGCTGGCCCTAGGGCTTGATGGGTTGGCCTTAGGGCTTGAGCCCTTTTTGTCAGCTCTAATCTGACAAGAGAGTGGCCAAAAAATAAAAAGTAAATATCCGTTTGGGTCCTTAATAAAAAAATACGGTTCTCACTTTAATCACTTACTAAAAAATATTAGTTGGCTTATTCCTATGAAATTCAAAGTGGACTCATTTTAATTATTTTGAGAGACTAATGTGGATCTTTTTGAATTTGTGAGGGACCACGATTTCAACTAAATGGGTCCATTTGAATTTTTTAGGGACCTCAAGACTAATATTTTTTTGTAAGGGACTAAAGTGGAGAACCGTGTTTTTTGTTAGAGACCAAAAAGTGTATTTACTCAAAAATAAATAGAGTAAAACCTATCTTGGGTCTCTAACAAAAAATACAGTTCCTATTTTCGCCCATTATAAAAAAATATTTATATTAGTCTTTTTTTAAGGATTAAATTGCGTCTTTATTAAAATTTTGAGGACCCTATTTTTAAAGAACTAGAATTATAGAAGGACCAAAAGTTAATTTTTTTTATAAGGGACGAGAGTAGGGATCATATTTTTTTGTTAAGGATCCAAAAAGGGCTTTACTAAAAAAATTAAAGATATAGGTCCTGCCTCTTTGTAAAAGTAAAATGACACAAATTGTGTCATCTAACAAGATAAACATTTTTTCCATTAACTTAATATAACACCGTTATAAATATAAAAAAAAGGGAAATAAAATTAAAAATTAGCAAACATAATGAAAATAAAGCCTAAATAACAAAATAAAGCAATAATAAGTAAAGCGTAAATAAAAATTTCGAATTGCCAAAAAATATAAAATAATAAAAAATTTGTCTTAGTAATACAGGATAAGGGTAAACTGAAGTCAATTTGTGAGTATTTGTGGCCCTATCCACGTGGAACTCGCACTCGAGTTGTAAACGGATGATTCCCGAATTGATAGGAAAACACATAAGATCACCTCATCTTTATAAAAGCCGAAATCCTAACTAGAACTGATGGGAACACCAAATTGGATACACTGAGTACGTATTCCAGAAAATAGTTAACTGTTATTGTTTCTTGGCATCATCATCGATTCAAGAATGTCAAAAGAAAGGGATAGAACTAGAAGGGGAAGCAGAGCCCCATATACATGCGGAGGTTGCAAGTGGATGAGGAAAAAGTGCGGGAAAGATTGTCTTTTGGCTCCTCACTTCCCACCGCAGAACACGCAAGAATTTGAAGCATGTCAAGGAGTTTTTGGGTTTAGCAACATGCAAAGGATGCTTAGATTCCTTGGTGAACAAGAGAGGCAAGAAGCTGCCAACTCTATGAAATGGGAAGCTTCGATGTGGACCCAAGACCCTGTTTCTGGACCCCTTGGTCAGTACAAAAAATTACAGCAAGAGAATAACAATCTCATTAACCTATTGAATCCCCCCGAACTTGGCAACAACAACAATGATGATGATGATGATGATGAAGTAGCTCCCACTCACAATGCACGGATTCAAAGAAGTGATTTTCCGCATTCTCTTAATCATCCTGGTGAAGGAAGCACAAGCTCGAACAGAGTTGAGCAAGAAGGTCAACAATGTATTCAACAGCAAACCCATACTCTTCAAGATTCAGGTCAAACTTCGTTTCCCACTTCTTTCTCTCTCTTCTCTTATTATATTTAGATTCTTGATATTTTCACAGAACAGACTGGGTATGAAAAAGAAAGTAATACTATTAGGTAGAAAGAACTAGGTGAAATTTTTTATCTTTGTGCGGTGTATTTCTTGTATTCGTAGTTGAGATAGAGATAGAACTGTAGAAGTGTAGCGCTTAATTAGTTAAGGTTAATCATGGGTTATCCTCTGTTTTTGTATCACTGACTAATTAATTGGAAAATAGTTCACATGAGAAAAGAAACTAATCTGGAAATTGTGCACCAAATTCAACAATGTAATATGGAAGGTGGAAATTATTGCAGTTGATACTGTAAGATGTTGTTGACACATGCAAATAATTCTATGATTTTGTGTCTATACTTTGGTTATGTTAATTTAGACAAAAAAGGGGGAGGAGATTATTTCTGGGTGAACTCTTTCATGCATTAGGAAAGGTTCTTCTGCCCCTTCTTTATTGGTTTTTTGTGTATGGGCCAATGGCTTCTGTTTTTAGGTTCAATCCATTGACCCTTTTCTACTATTTCTTTTTCTTCTGCCCCTTCTTTATTGGTTTTTTGTGTATGGGCCAATGGCTTCTGTTTTTAGGTTCAATCCATTGACCCTTTTCTACTATTTCTTTCTGCTTAGAATGCATGCCAAAACCCTTTTTGAGTTTTCTCTCAAATTTTACAAATTTGAAATTGCATATATGTATGCCTTCATAACTTCTTATCCTCATATATATATATGATTACAATGAACTGTTTCATGCGTAGATGATGAACTAGTAGTCATAGAATTTGCTTTCTTCTTTTGATTTACTTTTCTTTAATCTCATTTTAGATGAAAGCCAGTTGAATAGTGAAGAGAAGATGACTGAAAATCGATGATTAAGACACAGGAAGAAAATGATCATGTCTCATCAAACCTCCTGTTTTCTTCTTGGTAATCCCGCTTTTCTTAGGATAAAGTTGAGTTTGCAGTGTAAAAGAATTCACAAGCAAAATTACTGTGCATAGAAATTTTAGAACATTCATCATCTGGGTAATTTTACACTAAAACTAGCAATATTATATAATTCAATACATGGCTATAAAATTTTGTGTAATATTCGATTAAGAAATTCCTCTTCTCCACTATGGATGCTATTGTGGTAGCGCAGCTAGCTGCTCTCAAGAATCATGTTTGGTAGATGAGCATTGTTATCATCCTAATCGTTGTATGTGATGGAAAAATAATGTAAAATAATTATTAGAGAAAAATTTGTATTTAAGAAATTAATTTAATAATACCAGCAATTTCGTGAAATGTATTTAAGAAATTGAAACATACAATAACAACGTGAAGTTAAAGAAGGAAAGTGTTACACACTATGTCAAAGACAATTTGCCTTTTCTATGGTGCCCAAAAGTTAATGACAATTGTGATAGAACAGATTATTTCAGTTTCGAGGTGTAAATAAGTTCGGTTGGGCTAGATTTGGCCTGAAAGAGGCCAATGTCTATATAAAAAAAAATTAGGTTTGATCTGGTTCGTTAGTCTTATATAAGCCTAAATTATAAGTTTGATCTGATCTATATTTACAAAAATAAAAACTTTGATCTAGGCCTATTAGCATGTTTAAGTCTACTAAGCATTCAATAATTAAAAAAATAATTAAAATAATATCACTTTATTATATTTAAAATAAATTATATAATATAGGTCGGTTTGTAGGCTTTATAGGCTAGGCATATAAAAGAAAGTCATGTTAGACTTTTTTAAGACCTGAGTCTGTTCTATTTTACTATATATAATAGGCTGAGCCGTAGGCATATGTTAGACCAACTGTCTCATTTATACCCATACCTTTATTTAGTGATGATACTCTCAAATAAGCATCACTCCGCGGACACAAACTACCTGATCAAATGAATGTAGAATGAATTCAAAGATTTCAAAATCCATTTTAATAGAATTTTGGTAAAAAAGGCAAATAAAAGGTAACTCATTTATTCTGATTTCTTTTCATATTTATAAACCATGATGACTATTAAATGATAGAGTCATGTATATTCAATGTTTAATAATGGTGAAAAAACTCAACTCTTCACATTCAACTCCTTATTCATAATACTTAAATTCTATAAACATTCTAATGTATCATCTTATCATGAATGACGATAGTTTCTTTTTAATTAATTAATTTTCCTCTGACGCAATATCTTGGAGCGTGTTTGACGGGGGGATTTTATTTTGTTGCCTAAGAAAGTGGGGATGAAATTCAAATGTGACAATGTTTGGTAGGAGTTTGAAAAAAAATTGCCTAGAAATTTTTTTTATTCATAAAATGCCTAGAAAATTTATTTGTATGAGAATGTATTTTATGTGTAAAAATAAAGTAAGAATACCACATGAGAATACCACCAAAGGGTGGTATTTTGATTTTGCCCGCAAAATGCTAATTTTCCCACAATTTTTTTAATAATATTTTGGCCTATCAAAACAACTTCTTTTTTTAACTTTTTTAAAAAATTTACTTTCCTACTATATTTCCATTAATTGTGATTCCTAGATAAACAAAATTTTCTATTATACCAAACACTCCCTTAAAAGATCTCCTAGTCATCAGTAGTTGGTAAACTTAAAATGCATGGCAATATTGTTATCCAATTTTCAATCAAAATATATTTCTATTTTTCACTATCTCTTGTATAGTACCAAGACACTCTAAAACCCAATTACACTAACAATCTTCTATTGCATGAGCGCAGTTACTATTCCTACGAGTTTGACTCTTTGAGTCGCTTACGGGTTCGACTCTTTCAGTCACCTACAAGACTAATTCAGAGTTCGAGTGCGAGTTCAAGAATTACGGTACTTATGCCCCTCCCCAGGTAGTGTTGGTGGGATTCGAACCGAGGTCCTCTTTCACCACTCAGTTCCCATGCTACCAACTGAGCCACCACACTTGGATACGCAGTTAATATTTTTAGTTATTAAGGATGTACACGATAATTATTTTATTTTTTATTCTGATATTTGGAGATGAATATTCTTTTCCTATTTTTATACCCGAAACAAATAAATTAAAAAAAATTCAAATTTTTTCCTCGGCTATTGATTCAATCTCAAAATAAAAAAAGAGCAATTTTATCAAACATAATTTTTAACTATTTTTATTTCTTATATTAAAAATAGTAAGAAAAATTATTTTCATAAATATTACCGTACATACCTTTTTTTTTTGGATTGCTCCACTGATTTTCGGACTTTGCCCCGATAATGTCCAATCCAACTCGGATAGGTTACCATACATACCTTGAATTTATTATATCTCTATGTAAGTTTCGTTTTTTTTAACAATATCCACCAATCTAATGACACAATGTTATGTATGATTATTTTATTTTTATATCTTGAATTAAATAAGGGATTTGTATTTGTCATTCAACATGACACAACAAACTTTCCTACAGACACAATATTTTGTAGGGTCCACATTTTTTGAAAAAAAAAAACTATGGCACGCAAAACGAATCTCTGTAACATTACATAATCACTTTTCCTACAACATAACTCTTATAAAACTCATTAAATAATTATACAAAAACTATTGGAAATGTAAAAATATTAATCATACCAAAACATGATCAATAAATTTTCATTAAATGATTATACTTATTTGAAATATATGTCACAATTTTTTTAAACTTGTCCCGAAAAAATATGCATTGTTTTAGGGGAAAAAATTTCTTATGCACAGGAGATGAAGTTATGATCTTTGCAATCTAAAAATAATGTCGTTTCGGGGTTTAGAAAAAAAAAGTATAGGGTACTTTGAAATTTTATTTTTTTATATAATAAATTCTATTAAAATATCACGTATTTTCCCCCATAAATTTCAAACAAAATAATATTTATGTCGTTACTGCATATAAGTTATATGCATTTACTTCCAAAATGACATCGTTTTGGAATTAAAATATTAAATAATCATAATTATAAAGACTATAATAACCCTGAAATAAATTAAAATTACAAAAATACCATAATTTCTACCGCAAAACGATATCGTGTTGGGCTTACTGCAGATAACTTATCTGCAATAACTACAGAAAAAACGAACCCAATTTCAATATGAAGTCATTTTTGAATTACAGAGATAATTTTATTTCATGTTCTAGGAGAAACATTAATATTTTCTAAGGAAAAAATATTCCCTGCGACTTGAGAAAAATAAATTTTAGGCATACAAAATTGCATATTATCAAACCGAAATATGGTATTATACTGAACAAAATTTTCATATAAAACTCATTTAATGCGTGGCTATTAAAATAATTAAACAACAATAAAGTTTTCATATAAAACTTAGGAGCAGGTTATATTTACAAACTTTTTTATTTACAAACTACATTATCTTCTCCCGAAAGAACACTATTGTAATTTGTAAAAATTTATTAAAAAAATTTGTAAACAGAATTCCCCTAAAACTTAATCAATCAATACATGTTTTACCGTCCTTCTCTCTCGTTTTCGATCTTCCTCAATGTTTTGACTGGGAAAATCATGATTGATTAAATAATACAAAATAAGGTGTATTTTGGAGTATGAGAAGGAATAGAAAGGAAGTGAGGAAATTAACAATTTTTATACAGAACTGAGAACTGCCATTTATCATGTTCTTTCCGAAATCTTATCTGAATCAAAATAATGTCCACAATCACATTCAAGTAAATTCACCTTTTATAGGACTTCTTGAGAAACATAAAAAAATGGGAGAGAGAAAGACGGAAGAAAGGATAACTAAAGATTTTATTAGAAGCATACCAAAAAAAAAGATTTTATTAGAAAATTATGGACTGTTAATTAATGAATTGATTTGACGATAAAAAATAAATTGTAAGAGGTTATACAATTTTGTTGTTGCAAGTATATAATTAATTGCCCCAAGTTTGTGTTTGAACAGACAAGTCATCTTCACCTTTATTTTTTTCAAATATATTTGAACTTCTATTCCTATTCTCTTTATTTATGTGTTGAGCCTCCTCTAAAATTTTCCAGTCTCACTTTCTATCTGTTTCTTTTTTTTTCTTTTAATTATTATACTGATGAATACTTATATAGCTTCATGTCAATATCTCTTCTATTTATAGAGCATTTTTACAATATAAATATAATATTGTAATAATGAAATAATATAATTTTACAAAGTATCTCATACAGTGCCACATGCGATTTTTCATAATACAATATCACATAGTAAATATTATAATAAATTTATATATAATATTATAAAATCTCACATACCATGTATTTTAATATTTTTTATACGTGAAAATGTTGGTCTATTTATTTTTTCACAATGTCAGTAAAGAAACAATCAATACTTTTAAAGTTATCAAACTAATTTTAAATAGTCTTGTATATTTTTTTTCTACATAGAACCAATCCAATTATGTCCAAATTATATAGTTCGGGTATTTATATTTTTGGATTGGTACATAAATTAAATTTTAAATCTCTCATACATTGAAGTTATTATTTTTATAATTCTTTACGAATAGAGTGTATTTTTCAATAACTAAATAATTAGCCAAAAACCTAATTGTTTCTAGAGACTCTTTGTAAGCTGGTTCCGAAATACTAAGGTTTGACAAATATAAATGCATGTACATACCCGCTTCTAAAGCAATTAAGATGGTAATTAATCTCTCAATTCAATCAGCAATCTATCTCTCTTCTCCCCTCAAAGTAAAAGCAGAAGGACTCCAGCTATATTTTATCATGTTCCTTGTCAGACTTTGAAGAACTTTACATTTCAAACTTAACTTTAAATGCTTTTCATTTTTTTAAAAGAAAAGAGACTTTGGAATAATATTATTATTATTATCAAAGGACATTCAGTACCAAACTTGGTTTTGTCTTCCTCTCAAAACGGTTCTAAAAACACCCAACAAAATGAAAAAAACAAAAAACAAAAATGAGTT